TGAATCTCTTCTTCTCCCAACAAAAAACACACACAAGTAAGGGCATCTAATTGGTGGAAGATTAACTTTGTTTCCTAGTGATTCAAAGTTCGGTTTGGGGCAGTTGTTTCGGTGGTGAGTTCAACAATTCTTCCGCTGCGTTGACAGGTACGCTAATGTTGTTCTCGCCCCGCGATTATTTTTCTACAATATAGTCACCGGAATATGTGTTTGGTAGTATATGTCTCATATCTAAGAAAAAATCCAATAAATAACCAAAAAAATCGAAAAACCGACAAAAACTGGATCGATAAAAAACCGACTTAATTGGTATGGTTTGGTTCCAATATTTGAAAAATCGACTTACTTGGTTTGGTTTCTTTTTAGAGAAAAACCGACCCAAACCGAACCATGAACACCCCTACTTATACTAGAAACCTAAGTTTGTCTCTGGCGGGACAAGCGATCTAGTTTTACTATCGGTTGCGACAGATTTATCATTTAGATCCGCTAAATCTTATTTATTTCATTTAAGTAAATCTTACTACTAATTGCTTGCATAGTCCACTACAAATACGATGAGAATACCAAAAAAAGTTCTCAACAAAAGTAAGAGGATTTGCATCTATACCCGCTTTTTGGGTCAAGTTTTAACTTGTGTCCGTTTTGCAAAAAAAATTACAAGCGTACCCACTTTTTCCCGTAACTTCAGCATACGGGGCTGAAGTAGCAAAGTCAATCACGCAAAACTTCAGCATTCTAGTAGACGGGCCTGAAGTAGCAAGTGTGCTGAACCAAGTGTGCTGAAATTTTTGTTTGTAATTGCTGAACTTAAGCATAGTAGCTGAAGTTTTGTTCTCTATTTGCTGACGTTTTTGTTTGTAATTGCTGAACTCAAGCATAGTAGCTAAAGTTTTGTTCTCTATTTTGCTGAAGTTTTTGTTTGTAATTGCACTAAATAAGCTGAAGTTTTTTTGTGCTGGATTCATTAGTTTTGTCATTAAGCTTTTACAAAAAATCTTCAGCAGAAGATGCTGAAGTTATTTAGTTCATTTATAAAAACTTCAGCACTAAATAAGCTGAAGTTTTTTTTGTCCTGCATAAGCTTTATCAAAAACTTCAACAGAAGATGCTGAAGTTATTTAGTTCATTTGTAAAAACTTCAGCACTAAATAAGCTGAAGTTTTTTTTGTCCTGGATTCATTAATTTTATCATAAAGCTTGTTCAAAAACTTCAGCAAAAGATGCTGAAGTTATTTAGTTCATTTGTAAAAACTTCAGCACTAAATAACCTGAAATTTTTTTGTCCTAGATTCATTAGTTTTGTTATAAAGCTTTTTCAAACACTTCAGCAGAAGATGCTGAAGTTATTTAGTTCATTTGTAAAAACTTCAGCACTAAATAAGCTGAAGTTTTTTTGTCCTGGATTCATTAGTTTTGTCATAAAGCTTTTTCAAACACTTCACCAGAAGATGTTGAAGTTATTTAGTTCATTTGTAAAAACTTCAGCACTAAATAAGCTGAAGTTTTTTTGTCCTGGATTCATTAGTTTTGTCATAAAAGCTTTTTCAAACACTTCAGCAGAAGATGCTGAAGTTATTTAGTTTATTTGTAAAAACTTCAGCACTATATAAGTTGAAGTTTTTGAAAAAGCTTTCTAACATAATGATAGATAATCACCTTATTATTTCATAGTGTATTACTACTATAAAATAATCAGATTGCCAACAATATCTAAATCATAAATTTTTTAAACAATAAACGTGAAAAGAACAGAATTATCATGAAAAGAATCACTAAGTGTGACCTTAAACTTTCCGTACGTGGAAATATTCACAAATTATTGTCTACTAACCTACGTAATTATTTATAATTTATTTTTAAATAATCTGATAAACATACTTATGGCAATCATCACATGAACTGAAGTTTCATAGCAGCACCAACAGCATCAGAAGAAAGAAGAAGAAGAAGAAGAAAACGAAGGAGGAGAAGGAGGAGGAGAAAAGGGGCTGAAGTTTAAAAAATGGATACAAGTTAAAACTTTAAAAAAATGGGAATAGGTTAAATGAGGGCGACCAAATAGGGCGCCCCGTGCAATTTTTACACAAAAGTAGTAGAGTTAGTAAACAGCACAAAATAAAGTGGATCTTGAAACTCCATTTTCTACGTTAAACATAATAATTTTATTATTGATATTGCGTCATTTGGTTTTGAGATAAATACATTGGTATTGGATTAGTTTTTCATGTTTAGTTTAGAAATGGATGATAGATTAAAGGGAGATTTTATTTCCCTCGGATTATAATTTGGAAATTGAGATGAACCATGTTTTACGGCTACATATATACTGTACAACTCCTATTTCATAAGGTACTTTATTTTTTCCCCAGAATTTCCTATTGCAGTAGTCCTAACTTATAGATTTGGTTTATAGATGCACAAATAGCATGTTAAGAGTTCAGTAAGACTACTAAAGATTGTGCTCGAATGGTAAGTATTTATATATCTTTAACCACATGTCTTGGTTTCGAGCTTTAGATCCCCAACGCGAATTCGAAATAGTTAGATCCTAAGGCGGGAAACCAAAAAAAAGAGTTCAGTAAGAGTTGTCTAATTTTTGTAGGCGTGCTCTTGTATATTTTGGTTGTTGCTACTGTTTGTTACTTTATTTTTACTGTTCCTTATAGGGTGTTCATGGTTCGGTTTAGATCGGTTTTTTCCTAAAAAGAAACCAAACCAAGTAAGTCGATTTTTCAAATATTAGAACCAAACCAAACCAATTAAGTCGGTTTTTTCTCGATTCGGTTTATGTCGGATTTTGTCGGTTTTTCGGTTATTTGTCGGTTTTTTCTTAAATATAAGACATACACTACCAAACACATATTCCGGTGACCACATTTTCAATGTAACACTATCAAATCAATTGCCCTTTGAGAAATCTATTATTTATCAAGATATATTGATAATAATTGAATCAACAGAAAAGGGCCAAAGACACTAATACAATTAGATCCGCTCTTCATATACAAACTTGGGATTTGCGATCCCAAGTAAGATCGGTTCAGGATCATGGGATCCTTTTCTATCAGATAGGAAGGGCTGTAGCACAAAATGTACTTCTAAGTAATTGCCCCATAGATCCTACTACCCCTATCGTTTGCTAAATGGTTTACAAATACCCTCCGTCCATCTATCCGTCCAAAAAAATACACGACGTTAATTCTATTAACAAAATTACCCCCGCGACTAACGGCAGAACTGGTGGGCCTGACGTGTCATTTTTCTACTAGACCACATGGCAATCTCTGACTGGAACAAAAATGGATACCTTTTCGACCCACACCCGACCCAATGGCTTCCCCATTTTTTCCGATCTTCTTCTTAATTTTTCCGTACTGTGGACCATGCTAAATGGTTGCAACTATTATTGTTGTCCATGGCCTTGCTAGTTTCAACCACCTCTTCCAGCTGCTTGATATCCTGCATCAATAACAACTGGGGATGAATTATTAATTTGTTTTGAATTTTAGGGGAAAAAGTTGAGGGAAGAAATCTAAAGAGACAATTTTCTAAGCGTTTTTATCTGTGTTTCTGCTTTACGTTATTAGTGTAATTTGACCTGTGGCTGTAACGTTTGTCTAACTCCTATGTTCTTATTTTAATAAAAAATTAGAAATTTTATAGGTTTAAACTAATTGAATGTTTATTAATTCAGGTGTGATTTGAGAGTAGTAAGCGATGCAAATGTATTCTTCATAGAGACAATCTTGAAACATCTGGGAATAAAGGATTGTTTCACAGAAATCAACACAAACCCAGGCTATGTTGATGAGGAAGGAAGACTCCAAATCCTACGTTATGTTGATTTTCAAATATCTCCTCATAACTGCAATATTTGCCCTCCCAACATGTGCAAGGTAAATAATCCATCTTATTATGATAAAAAAATCTTTTCATAAACACAAGTCAGCAATTTAAAAAGTTTAACATGAAATTAAGTAATTATTCTAATAGAGTTTCTCTTACAGGGTCTGATAGTAGAGAGAATACAAGCCGCTATGGCTAAGGAAGGGAAGAAAAGAAATATATATCTTGGTGATGGAGTCGGCGATTTCTGCCCCAGTTTGAAGCTCAGAGATCGCAAAAAATCAAGAAGAAGATCGGAAAAAATAGGGAAGCCATTGGATCGGGTCAGCTAAGTGGGTCGAAATGGTATCCATTTTTGTTTTGCCACGTGGCCCAATAGAAAAATGACACGTCATTAAATGTAGGCCCACCAGTTATGCCGTTAGTCGCGGGTGTAAGTTTGTTAATAGAATTAACGTCGTGTGTTTTTTGGGACGGATAGATGGATGGAGGATATTTATAAACCATTTAGCAAATGATAGGGGTAGTTTTGACCCTTTTCCGTTGAATCAAATAGTGAATAGTTTAAGGACTCAATTAAAAACATATTATTTTTAACACGAAATGGATTCTTACACTTAACAAAAGAAAACTACCAATCAAACTAGAATGTAAGGGTAAAGAACTATACTAAAATTGCAATCTATTAACATTTACCATTAAATTTTTGAAACCGTGTATAAAAATATACATATGTATAGGTGTAATAATAAATTTGAAATAGCTACTCCTATAGTAGGTTTGGTTCGGGTTTTTTTTGATTTTTTTTCTAGTTAAAACCAAAATCAAACCAAATTTGATCGGTTTTTAAAATTCAAAATCAAAACCAAACCAAACCAAAAGATATCATATGTGGGATTACACTAGATTTTTTAGTTGTTGTTGTGCTCTTATTTTGGTTTTTCAGTTTCACTAAGGCATAAAACCAAAACTAAACTAGTTTGACTCTAGAAGTTCTGTCTTAACAAAAGGCTGTTACTATTTGCAATTTAGTTTTAGACAAACAAAAAAAATATGAATGTAGTATAAATTCTCAAGAAACTGGAGAAAGTTACATATAGAAACTGCTATTACATAAAGAAAAAAATTCCAAACTTCTACTATTATCTATTCTAATAAACTGTTCTTATCAGTCCTTTGACCCCTTTTCCAAGAGCAAGATTTTGCAACCTCAATGTCTCTTTTAGCAGCAGCCATGGTTGATGATGACTACTCAATTTTCCAAACTTAACACGACGGCTATCTCTGTCCGACAGTATATTAAACAATTCTTTTCCTATCTCAAACGACGTAAAATCATCAATAGCACCATATTCAACTTGTTCATAGCACAAATCCTCTGCATTCCAACTCAAAACATTATTCAGTTGCTTCTCCATCATAACTTTCCCAAGTACTGCTTTCGCCATTCGCTTCAAATCCATTTTTCCATAGATTTCTTCATCATACGTCAACAATGCCAGTTTGTTTAAATCAACAGTATTCGCCACGTACAACCCGTGATCACATAACAACTTCTCAGCATCTCCCTCAACTCCAATACCAACGAACGTGTTATTAGGGTCAATGAGAAAGTCTCTGGGGAATGAAATCTCTATGAAGGAGTTGAAAACTTAAGCAACGATCGCCAATACATAGCAAGAGAAGAGCAACTGAATGGGAGCCATTTGATATTCAGACCGATAAGGAGCTTGTGGAGTCTACGACGACGTGTGTGCATAGTTTGTAGAATCCAATGATCAACAATTGTTGCTTGTTTAGTGACAGTAACTTCGATTTGGGAATCGTAGAAAGGCACAAGGTAATCAGTCATCTGGTGCACAAGGTATTTCGCGTTCATGTAGGGTTCAGAAAAGGATCGGACCCCAGGAAATGTGACATAGACAGAATGAATAGCAAGAGAATGTACGATAATATAATATTGTTTAAAAACATAGAATTTCTAAGCTCTATATATAAGAGCTTGAAATGACCTGAATAGAGTGGGATTGGGATTGGACTTTCCTATTTGAGGATTTCCTAGTTGGTTTTGGTTTTAGTTTCAGAAAACCAACTTTCCTATTACGGATCGGTTCTCTCAGGTCAAATAAACAAGTAAAATCAATTTCCTATTTCTCCGACTAAATTGCATATAATAGCAGCTAACAAAACTTAGACAATTCGAATAAGAAAGAATTACAAAAAAATACAGATGACTTCACATCATAACAAAAAATGGATCATGTTTCTAAGTTTTACCCTACCTAGCCCATATTGTACATATTTTGAAAGCACTGGCAAATTCAAAATCTGTGTTCTTACAACCTTTGCTTCTAAAAGCTATGGAGTTAAATATGTATTCTCACAACCATTGCTTTCACTCTCTCTCTTCTTCTCATATCTTCGACATATGCTTCAAGAGGCTGAGTATTTTCTGCTTCTCCCCCTGCGTCACCTGGTTGCAATGTAAGAAAATTGAAATGTAGAAGTCCACCATTGAAGGCCATTCAAAGCTTTGCTTTCGAAAATATGATTTTTTGAGTTTGTTAGTTGTTTGGATTAGGTGTTGTTCCAATTGATTGCAAATATCAAAAGGAGTTCAAGATTTAAATTTGAAGTGATTTGGAGTAGATTTGAGCAAGATTTGAGTTAAATTTCAGAAAAAACGCAAAGAAGAAGACGAAGTCAGTTTTTTGTATAATTCTGTATGATCTTGTATAATAGTGTATATGAGTGTATAAACACATCTTATACACTATTATACACCTTTATACAAACGTCTGTAGACGAACTTCTTCCACGATTTTCAGTTGCAATTCTTGTTCAAAACCAGTCCAAATCTCCATTAAATGACTTCAAATTTTATATATAACCTCCTTATACTATTTCTAACAAGTTTAAATAATACCCACTCCAAAATTCTCGCGAAATCAAATTTGAATTTAAACCCACATATCTAATTTCACTATCCAAGTGGATTTGGTTTGTTGAACTAATATTTGAGTCACAGTTACTGATTCGAAAGTTAACTTAAAAGCTTGAGCAATTTTTTTTAAAAATTAAATAGTAATTTCGAGAACCTATTGGAGTTGAATGTTGAGTAGTAGCCTATTATTCTTGGGCTAGTTGATTGTAAATTGAAATATTGGCTATAAACTTGAAAAGTAGGGAGCCTAGTTATTCTTACGTGAAATTTTTCCTAAAGAAAATCACTTCAAATATTTGAAACTTTCCATATATTATGTTCCATATTAACGGTGTTGAAACCTTTAATCCTAGCGGAAAAAAATTGCCATCTTACGGACTATTTGTCCTTATATCAATAACAATAAGTAGTTTTTCACAAGTGGGGTCTGAAGATTGTAAGAACTAAGAACTATGCAATTTTATCCCTACTCCCGAAAATGCAGAGAGACTGTACTACTTACCTTATAGACATACATTTTAAAGTCGTATGTGCTCTGTCCATGTTCTTTTAGACAATGATGTTTGATCATATTGGACGTAAGGCGAGTACAATCTTACCTCTTCAGACTTCACTTGTAAAAAATTTCTAGGCGTATTGTTGTTGTTATATTTATTATATTTAAAAGAATTGATAGGAAAAACATTACAATTAAAGCTAAATATTTTAATACTTTGGATTTTTAAAAAGTTACTTAAATACTTTTAAGACTTAAAATAAACATTTTTAATGTTCCAAAAAGAAAAGAGTGTCAACAAAAGAGAATATATTAACAATAGGAGTAAATATAAATACTAAAGCCATATTAATACTGCAAATATCAATTTACCGCGTGATGCACAATGGACCAGAGTAACGGAGAACGCCGTGGGAACCAGCCGGAATATCACCGGAACCCTCATTCTGCGCCGCCGAATTGGCCTTCCGACGAGACTGTCTCTCTTAACGACGACAATCATAGAAGAAACTTTCCCGGCGATGGCAACCACTACAATCGCCGCCAACATCACCATCACCACCACCACCACCACCAAAACCCCAATTCCGAGCAAAATTTCGGTGGTTCTCCGCTTCTTTCAGCTCGTAAGAGACCTTACGATCAATCAACATCTGGTACGAAGCATTATTCTCCCGCTCCTAATTAACAATTCCGAAAAAGAAATCACCTGGTTCTAATTTGTCTGGCACTTTTGCTTATCAAGAATAAATTTGACTAACTTTGTAGAGACTTGATTATTTCATTTTTTTAAAATAAAATTAAATGAGTTTGAGTTAAAAATAAAAAGAGTTTAAGTTATGTATGTATACTGATAGTGAGATTTAACCTGATATATTAGCTTACGTACCATTTACTATAATTTACCGATTAATGCTTATTAAATGGAATTACCTGCAATTACCTTTTAAGCGACATGGTTGTGTACAAAATCTTTACACGGTCAGTTCATTGAACTTTAAACTCAATTAATTTTTTTTTTGGAAACTATAGAAAAGAGTATTCTAAGTTAACTGGTAGAAAGATGCATTTTAAAATGTTCGTAAAAGTTATATACATTGAGGTGTAAAGATTTTTTTACACCTGTTATATTAGGTTATGATGATTTAGTATAGGTTATTAACTAATGCTCATTAAATGGAGTTAACTGCAATAAGTGACCTAATTGCATAGAAAATCTTTATACTATCAGTGTATAGAACTTAAACTCAATTAAAATTTGGATATTTTGGGAACTATAGAAAAGTGTATTGTAAGTCAAAATTCTCCTTGTGTAATATTGGTGGAAAGATACATTCCAAAATGTTGGTAAAAGTTCAGTTAGTTGAATCCCTATTAGCGAAAGAGCCAAATGTTTGAGCATGTTGTATTTTACTGGGTGTTTGTAAGCTGTAGCAGTATTTCACAAGCATGACTTTCTGAATTTTGGAAAACCTTTTAGACTCTCAGGTTCGTTTTGGATCTGTGAAACTCTATGTTGTAGGAGTACCAAGACCAGCTGAAGAAGAAGACGTAAGTCTCTGTCGTTAAGTATTTTGAATAATGATATCTTTTTTCCTTGTTATGTTGTGTATTGCTTTTTATGACGGTGGTGTCCAGGTCAGCTTGCGCACACTTCGAGTATTCCACCGAATTACCTCCCACTAGCACAGATACTGCTAAATTTTGCCCACCAAAGCTTAGGCAGGATGGGAACAAATCTCCTAGTGTTTTGCCTCCTCTGAGATTTGAACCTGAGATCTCATGGTTTTTCTCCCACTTTATTGACCACTGAGCCATAAAAGCCTAGTGTTCTGTTGGCGCTTAGTTGTACCGACAAAGTGGACTTCTGCACACTATGAGTTATGCTTAAGAGTTAAGAGTGGGACTTGAGGCTTTTAAGAGCTTAGATATAATAACCAACAAGAACTACTACTATTAGCCTCAACCCCAAAGTAGTTGAGGTCGGTCATATAAAGCCTCTATATCTATATCCATCTTCATCCAAAAATAAAGCCTCTACGTCCATTCTGCTTCAATTAGCTAGGCACTCTTTCCAGTTCTAATAATTGATATTTTGAGACCTTCTTAAATGTCTTATAAATCTAGAGATTCTAGAAATCTCACAGGTGACCTACAATGACATGCAAATCTCTGACTAAATGCAAAAAACGCCAGGAGAATATCATAGTTAATGTAAGTTTACTAATGTGGTATTTATTGAGACAATGGATGACTCAACGGCTCTACCTGAGGCATATACACACCTTGCCCATACTTTTTTTTACAGTAACTTGGTGTTTTTTAATGAAAGTTTTTGTTACTGAAGAAAAATTATACCATCAATGATTAAATGTTAATCAATCTAGTTGGTATCACCTATATTAATACTTTGCCTCCATTTGCATCTATGTCTGGTGAAAATATTGTTGGTGAGTAGTTATATATTAAAAGCGACTCATGGTTTTCGATCTAACAACCAACCGGCAGAGTACATAGGTGATGTATATTCCAGTAATTTTAGCAACATACTGTGGTCATTGCATCTACTAAGACTAGGCTACTACTTTGAATTAAGTTCATGCTGTCTTCCCTTTGTCAAAGGTCCATTCTTTTAATATTTGTTCTGGATATCAATTAGCTATTTTCTTTTTTTGCCTCAAAACTTATTAAATTGTTAATAAGTTGCAATATCACAAAACAACTTGTGTGAAGTAGAGTATACTCCTCTATCTTTTGAATTTCTAGGTGTCCTATATTTTACATAGATACTTCATTTGTCTTGAATTAAATGGATATGTTATGGACCATATGGTATCCATGGTGTTCAATTAAAATCAATCAACTGCACCTCAGTCCCAAACTATGTGCAGAAAACCAACAGATAGTCTCATCCCTGTTGGAAGAATGGGTTAACCACTTGCTTTCGTCCAACTTCAATGAGGGTCTTTTCCCTGTCCAATGATCCAGTAACTTCCCATTTTTCTGGGATGTTTAACTATTTGACATTTCATCACTCAAGTCCTTGCAGATTCCATGTTTGACTATGTTCATCATCTGGGCTTTTCGAAAGTATTCCTACATATTAACGCATGCCTCTTTCAATTCAGGTTCGTTCTGTTTTTGCTGAACATGGGAATATTGTTGAGGTTGTTCGGCTCAAGGATAAATCCACTGGTTTGAGGAAAGGTAGAGGAATGTGGTAATAGTTGCCGTTGCCAGGTCATCTGGTTGTGTACTTGTTATAGTTTACAGTGATGGTGTTGCTTTATCAAATGTCATGCCATCTGCACTGGGTTATGTATTCGTAAAGCAATTCAAAGAGTTTAAATTGCAATTTAAATTACTCTGGATCATTTAAAATACCAGGATTTAATCTTATTCGTCCTCCTTGCAATTTTCTGCTGTTGACATTCACTATATTCTCGGCACATGTATCATCCAAGAAGTATAATATGATCTTTTTGACAAGTATAGACGTCAGATAAAAGTGAATATTTTTCCCGAAACAGAATAAAAATGAATAATGTATTTACACTGCAGAATGCTGTTTTGTGAAGTATAGCACGCTAGACGAAGCTGATAGGGCGATTGGAGCATTCCATGGTCGATATACTTTCCCTGGGGTGAGTTTCCTTCTCAGTTGTGAAAGTTAAAATCATTTACCCTCTCAAGAAATTATTGATCTCCTCTTACTTGGTTTGTATATATTTCTTGCTTGCAGGGTGAGGTTCCCTTAATAATTAGGTATGCTGATGGGGAACGAGAACGTCTTGGTAATTGTTTTGTTGTCTCACTGTTCAAATTTTAGATAATATAGGTCTAATACCGAACATAAGGATCATGAATAAAGCTCCCACCCTTGCGAAGTCCTTATCCTTAAATAGCCAACTTGAGTTATCATAAGCTTAACTAAAGCAAATTCGCTCCCTTCTACTATCTATGTTGTCCACCACTCACTGCCCACCAAGGCAGTATGTAAAAGTTGACAAGCTTCTCTGTAAAGATCCATGTACGATTGAAGTTGCATTTTCCCGGAAAACACATTAGTCAGGATAAGGCTATAGTAAACAGTTTTAAAAATAATACTCACAAGGCTAAGGGGCCTAGGGTATTTTGAACAGCTACCTAAACTTTTGAAATCTAAGGTAATGAAAATGGAATTCAAGAACTACATCTTTCTGGTCACAGAGAAACATTTAAGTATTACATGACAAAGAGGTAAGTGTTTTGATAATTTGTTACGTTTGATAGATGAAACGAATGATGATTTGCAAGTGACTCCATCTGTTCATAGATCTGTTGGTACTGCTGGGGGAAACTGCATTTTGTAAGGGTTTGAATTCTGAACAGAATCCAGGGAACGAGTATTTCAAAATAATATTTTTGATGAATTGACATGGAGTATTTTCTCAAGTGTATACAGTCTGAATTTTCAGTTGTCTCTTTGCCCCTCTAGAATTCTAGGTGTTTATTTGCATTATGCTGTTATTTCTATCCGCTTTACCTCTTTTCTCTCTCATTGTAGGAAGCTTGGGTGAACACAATCACAAACTTTATGTTGGTGGTCTGAGGAAACAAGTTTCCAAAAGAGAAGTTGAGCATGTATGCTCCACATATATGTGTTTTAAGCCAAGACATGCAGATTCTATCTTCCCTTTTTGCTCCTTCCTTTTTCACTGTTACTCTTTCTCCAATTTGTGCATTCTGTATACATATGCAAAGAATCTGTATGTTGACATTCTACTATTTTCATGCTATATATTTTACGTACTGGGCACAAATTCAAGCTTTTTTGTTCTTAGTGCTATTGGATAAAAAGAAATATGTAGCAAATGATTCTGCAGTGATGTCATGGTTATAGGTTTATCAATTATAATTTTCATTTAATGGATATAAGTGATACAGATTAATCCTTGCTCCATTCCACTTTACCGGACACATTTTTCGATCTAGGATGTAGTAACGCTTCATGAACTATGTCAAATAACAAGCTTTATTCAGTTCCCATGTTTGAAAGACGAATTCGTATCATGATATCATGTACCATTAGTTAATGATTATTTCTTTATCTCTATATTATATGAAATCCAAATAAATTCTCAATCTATATACACGGTCAAATTAAGTAATAGATAAGAGACCGAGGGACAATTTGTTTCACTTTTGAGCCAATGGAAAAGTTCTGAGTTTGGATGCACGCCTTTGGTGGCAGGTATTTTCTCCATATGGAGTTGTTGAAGAAGTCTTTTTCTTGCTTGATGAACAAAAACAACGTCGTGGTATGTAACAGCAACTCTCTTCTTTCTCTTTCTCTCTCTGTTCTCTCTCATTAATATTTTTACATTTAGCATGCAGGAGCGTTTGCATTTGGTAACAGTTTGCAAAGATGCTTTCTCACTGAACCTAGTTTTAGACATATATCCCTGTCGCTATGGCTTCTTCTCTAGTTGCTGCCAACAGTTCAGCTGGTTGCATATTCTCAATTTTACCCAGGGTGTTAAGTGGACGAGTTGGTTGAATTTAGGCAGGGTCAAAATGGGTTAAATCAAAATAATGGATGGGTCATTAGCCCGCTTAAATGTTACTTGGGTTGAGATGAGTTAGGTCAAGATGTGGCTAAACAATAGGTTATAGCCCAACCCACCCAACTCTAACAAAGTTTTAATTACTTTGTTTATTTTCTTATAATTTGTTGTGTTACCAAATAAAAATTTATTATTGTTATTGTTATTATTATGGCTATATTTTATGTTATTTTCAAATTTATTATTATGGCTATATCAAACAAAAGTTTCTAAAATATTTTGACAAGTTCTCTTATATGTCTATTTAGGCTTTAGCCCAAATCAGCCAAACTTATGAGCCGACTTGGGTTGTGCCCAAATTGGCCCGTAATGAAGATATGCTCAGCCCATCCTGCCCAGACTTGCGTGGGTCATATTTTCATGCGCTAAGTTTGCCACCCAATTTTACCAATCAAGTGCACTGCTTCTTGACATGTTTTGAATAGTGTAATTGCATTTGCCATATTTGGTGCTCATGCTTATTGTTCTGCTACCTGTACGTAAAATTGATATGTGCTGACCTACTTCTGGATTGTCTATACATACTCTGTTTTTTAACTTTTTCTTCTTGGCGTTGATATTATTCCTGCCTTGAAGGAAGTGCTTTTGTCAGTTTTGCTTGTAAAGATATGGCGGTTGCGGCAATGAATGCACTACATGGTACCTATGTAACGACGAAAGTAAGCCCCTGTATTAATATATATTTATGGTCCAATCTGAAACCAATCTCCTTTCTCCCGCTCTCTTGTGGTTCAGGTCTGAAACCAAATATCCTTTCTCCCATTCCCTTGTGGTTCAGGTCTGTCATCAGCCGTTGATTGTTCGATTTGCGGATCCTAAGAAGCCCAAGCTGGGCGAGTCGAGGTGTGTATCCGTCCATGAAATTTTACTCTTCCCTTTATCTTTGTATGGCTCAACCATTGCTAGTTTTGGAGTACCACTTCTTGTTGGATGAATCAAATACTCTTTCCGAATATACAAATATAGTAGTTATTTTGGATGAAAAAGTTGAACACAAATTGAAGAAACTAGAATGGAGCTGATATTCTTCTCTCCTGAGTGTGATATCTCAGATTCTCTTGATCGAGAAAGTTAAGCACTTCTAAGCAGTGTTTCAGAAAGCATTCTTTGGGCTAGTCCCGGGACGCGCCTAAGGCAGGGTGTGTGAAAACGCACTGGGGCGATTCTGCGGGGTGAAGATATCAGTGGGTGCACACCCCAAAGATGAGGCGTAAGTCCAGGGCAAAAAAGTTGTCTCAAGACGACACACACGTCTGTAGCTTTTAGTAAATTGGGGGCAAAAATTGGCAATTCCCTATTATCTTTGTCCAATTCTCTCTTCGTTGGGCCCCAAATAGGCAAAAAATACTTCGGCGGCAGCAGCACAATAGGGAAGAAACTGTTGAGACTAGAAATTGGCAGGCTCTTTTATCTTTTTGCTTTACTAGATCTTTCTTCTCTTACAAGATTATCTAACCGTCATGCTTTCAATTTGGGTTGTGTTCCTGTATTATCGAACCCAAATCTCCGCTGTTCCCTTTATTAACTTTCTGGCTTTCTTTTTCTGCTCCTTCTGAAGTTGGGACAAAAATCAAAGCACTAAAGAACATGGTTTTCTTGCAAGGTTTGCTTTTGTTTATTTTATTTATTTCTTGTTTTTATGACATGTTATTAGCAAACAACAGTAAGCTTCATGATTTCTGAGATATTAGTTGTTCATTGACCTTTTTCATTGGAGGCCAAAAAATGAGTCGTGTATGTTAGCAAGACCCTATATGTGTGTGTATGCATATACGTACAAAACCACTTTGATTTTTGACATTTTTCCTTGCAAAGTTTTTTTTTTGGCTTTCTTGTTTGAGTTGTTAGATGCCACGTAGAACACTGTTAATTTATATCTCTGTTACTATTATATTTTTTTATTGTTGTGTGCATAATTGCTTATATACTTATATTAATTTCCTATCTCTTTTATTGGATTTTTGATGAATTTCATACATATTAGTGTCTAAGCATTGGTGGACAGAGTTACTCGGTACCTGTGCTGATGGGAGGTATAGGTACCCAGTGGGATTAGTGGAGGTGCGTGCAAGCTGGTCCAGACATCGACTCTATAAAAAAAAAAAAAGAATTTCATTTCCTATTTCCTTATTGGAATTTTATGAATTTCATACAATTGTTTATGTAATTTATATAGGAATTGTTTTTCCATATGTTTATGTTTATTTTATTTGTATATAAAAATGTAAAAAGTTAAATATTCATGGGACTTACGTCCTGTGTCTCAGGACTCACCTCCACTCCATCTGAGATAAAGTGCCTAGTCTCACACTTCCGCCTTTTAAAACAATGCATCTACCTCCCAGAGTCATCATGTCCGGCATCTAGTATCTTCTGTAACAAGTTGCTATAGATGCTTGTTCCTATACCACATTCTCTTTATTCCTTCAGTTCTTTCCCGGTGCATTCTTATTCAAGTCCTGCTCTGGTCCAATGCATTAGACTAGCTTTTAGTTTATCTTGCCACTTGTATTTTTACTTGCTGGTTTCCTTATCTGAAACTTATAACTTGCAGGGCGCCATCCCATATGAATGAGCAATTTAATGGGAATATAGCAGCTAACCAGTCTAATCACCAGAGTCCAAATAAGGTTATTGTTCAATATTCTCCATTAAGTAGATGGCAGCATGTCGTAATACGAGTTTTACTATTAGAATAGCCTAACTTTTCCATTAAGAGCTGTATGTTTTTTCAAGAGTACATCTAATTTTGTGCTATGAGAGCTTAATCTTTCTGTCTTTTTGACAAAGGAGCTCAGATCTTTTTATCACAATGCAAATGGTCTTGCCTATTTGAAAAATGCAACTTCTTTATTTAAAGAAAATGCAATCCCCAGTACATAATTGCCTACGAAAGATAATTAGAAAAAAAAAAGTATGTTTCAAGTATCTGTTGCTTTTTGCAGACTCCAAATAACAGAAGCAATCCTCAGACAGTTTTCAGCACTTATGTCGGATCAGATAATGTTTTGCCATCAGCTGCATCTTCTGTCAATGCAAGATCTTTAAATGGTGAGATGGTGGAGTCTATAGATTGTGAATGGAGTGAACATATCTGTCCTGATGGATTCGTATATTATTATAACTGCATGACGTGTGAAAGCAGGGTAAGTTTCATTAATTGTCCAATTTCTTTTTTAACACTGGATCCCATGCCCCTCATAATGCATGGATGCCTGAAAACATGCAAACAGTGGGAGAAGCCTGAAGAATTTGCACTTTATGAAAAGAAATTGGAAAAGCTAGATCTGCAGCAACAGGATCAGCGCAATTTAAGACTTCCAGTTCGTAATAATCCAGAAGTTTCTCAAATGCGTCAGGTACAGCTTTCCTCAGAGAAACCTTCCGTTCACGCAGCAGTTAGTGATTTTCAACTTGTTTTCTTACTTTTGTGGTTTTAGGTTTTTTTTATTGGATGTTTCCGATTTGATTTTGTGCATGAAACTTGATGGCTTTGATCCATTGACTAATGTAATCTTGTTATACTAGATTTGCATATCTTATGATTCATTTGATTGAATTAAGTTAATAACCACCATTGTATGGGAGGTTTTTAAGTATATTACTCCCACAAAGATGCTTTGAACGGCATAAAAGTATAGTTTGAGAGATATAGCTGGAAATTTTGTGTATGATATGACGCAAATATGAAGCCGTAGAAACTATATGTTTGGTGCATAATGATGCATTGTAAAACTCAAAGTTATCTTGATATGAGATCTAGAAGGTTAGAGGTAGTCAATGCATATTTTTAACATCTTAATAATTACCTTTAGAACAAAGGAGTTTTTCATTCTGACGACATTAAATGTGTTTTCTGATTTTTCAGGAACTCAAAATTCATTCTGCTGACATTATACATGTTTTCTGAACTTTCAGGAACTCGAAACAGGAAGCTCAACGGTTCCTCTGGCTTGTGTCTAAACAGCATTGGTTTTCATTTTCGAAGTGGCTAGAACTGAAGCGAATGGTATTGGATTTTCAAATACAAGTGAGACTGACAGTGAGAGGCAACATTTCTGAAGACTGGATTTCTTGGAATTCAGGTCTGGTTATTCTGAGTATGCAAATTTGTACCACATTTCAATTGCTTGAGATTTACTGTGAGGCTGTGAGCTTCAGTAATTCTGTTAGGTACTTCCAGATTAGTAGCAAATATGACTGTATAGTTGTATATTTGGTCTAAGCTTTAGGTTTCTTTGCTTATTCTCTGTGTTAGTGGAATATTAAATTATTACTAGTACAGCTGTTGTTGCAATTACCTTTCCGTTTTCATCCGTTCTCCAGCCGACGGTCGATCGGAAACAGCCTCTCTGCCCTTCCAGGGTAGGGGTAAGGCTGCGTACATCTTACCCTCCTCAGACCCCCACTTGTTGGAACTCACTGGGCTTGTTGTTATTGTTACTAGTACGGATGTTCGGATACCTTTCTCAGCCTTTTGGCTAAGATCAAACGCCCTAGTACAAATGTTCGGCTGAGTAGAGAACGTCTAGTTTTAAAAAGTAGACTCGACTTTGTCTTTAATTAATAGTTCATCACATGAACCCATTCTTTAGTCACCATAACTATGACCATTACTAAAGTAAAATTACACAACGATAAATACTTAAAGCTACTTTATCTTTTCTGACATTCATTTTTTATATTAAACAGAAAGTATGTCAAAACAAAACGAGCAAAAAGAAGTATCACTTGAAGAAAGTTCAAAAGTAAATTATATAAAATAAAGAATCCAGGTAGAATAAAAAAGAAGTCAAAAGTCATCAAACCACTTGTCTCTTACACTGATAATAAGTGTGATTTTTGTGTTTTTTTTATTTTTTGGTGAGATTTTTTTTAAAGCTTTTAGTTGGAAGAGTTGACCAAGTTTGACTTTTTAGTATTTGACCTTGGTTCGGAATTTTGATAGTTCTGTTAGGTTCGGATGATGATTTTGGACTCGGGCGTATGCCGACATTTGCATTTGCATATTTTTAGAAGGTTTCGACGCGACTTGGTGAAAGTTGGAAACTTGAAGGTTTGAAAAGTTCATAAGTTTGACCGGGAGTTGACTTTGAGGGTAGCGGATTCGGATTGTGATTCCGGGAATAGGAATAGCTTCGTTATGTCATTTGGGACTTGTGTGTGAAATTTGAGTTCATTCCGAGTTGATTTGACATGCTTCGGCGCGAGTTTTAGAAGTTGAAAGTTCAAGAGTTTATTAAGTTTGATTTAAGGTGTGAATCGTCGTTTTGATATTGTTATGTGTGATTTGAGGCCTTAAGTAGGTCCATGTTACGATAGACTTGTTGGTATACTCGGATGGGGTGCCGAGAGGCTCAGATGAGTTGCGGACGAGGTTCAGATTATTTTGTCGCATGTTGCAAATTGCTATACTTATACCAAATAATATCTCACAGGATAGTTATTGCAACTTAGTTAGCTTGCACCGTCTCTGAAACTCTCCTGCTACTTTCTCACTCCTTTGTTCTTATCTTCGAACATCTGTGGGTGTATTTGTAGTGCTTCTGATATTCCGTTATTCCGTACCATCTCTGTTTCCTGTTGAAGTAAGGAAAAACTCATGTTGAAATCACCTGGCGTTGGGTTCTTCGCTGCTACACCCGTGAACTGGTCAGTTTACATGTACATAGTATTTTTTTTTTTTTACCAATTAACAATATAATGAAAAAGGGACAAAATTAAAAGAAGTTAAAGCGAGGTTCACGTTTATTCAATATTCTGTATTGGTAGGGACTGAGCAAGAAAAGGGAAATGTACAGTTTCCATCCAAAATGAAATATAATTGTAAAGTAGAGGGTAAATGTTTTCTTAACCAAGTTCAATTCTTTTCATGAAATCCTTCACCGGATTCTTTAAATTCTTACGTCGTGCCATGCATGTTCAGTAATGCAATCCCGTACGGGGAATTCTCGTGTCGAGGCAAAGAGGTTCAATTGAATTTCTTTTGTAAAAAAATCGGACCGTACAAATAGGATAAAAATAAATTGTTACCGGCGAAATTTGATCTCGCCACGTGGCACAGTAAAACAAGGAAAAAGAGGTAAAAAAGACTTCTCAAGTCTTTTTTGGTCAAATATCAAATTTTATTTAACCAGAAAATATATTTACAGCACCTCTAACTCTTTTGGACTAAAGAGCTAGACTCAAGAAAAGCATAAAAATAACTATATCAAAGAAACTATTTACAGACTTTATAGTTTCTCTACTATACTAACTTCATAGAGGAAAACTATTTACTTTTTCTAAGTACATCTTCCATTTTGCCTTCTGTTGTCCTCTGATATGCAATTGAATGCCAATGTCTCGTATTATCTTCTTCATATCAGTCTCCCTCCCTTGGAATCTACGTGTGTTCCTTTCTATCCAAGTATGGTATAATAGTGCTGCAAACAGAAATGCAAGGATACTACCATGAGTCCCACTGTTTTTTGTTTTTGCACCCAACCATTTAAGTTCCTCTTCCCACATTCCAATATGATGTTTCTCTCCTATCCAATTCAGCAGTATGTCCCAAATGCTTCTTGAGTACTAGCATTGAAAGTACAGATGATCCATATTTTCAGTTATCCCAGTCTTGCATAAGACACATCCAAGGTCAACCTGTAAGCCCCAAGCTGCTAGTCTATCCACAGTATTAATTCTGTGATTTAGAGCTAGCCATAGAATAAAGTTGTGCCTAGGGACATTTGTACCCAGTATTAAAGCTTTTCACTCCACTTTTGGATACTGAGGTCTTGATAGAGTGTACATTCTCTGGATACTGAACTTTCCTCCTCTGTAGAACTTGTTTATATTTGCAAAAGATTCAAAGTTTGTGTACCAGTCTCTTATATCAAATATCTTTCTCACCAGCCAGCAAGCTTGTTTAGGGGTCTGCATACTCGTGAATTCCTTCCTCTTTATATAAACTGAGTGAATCCATTTGATCCAGAGGGCATCCTTCTTTAAGTGTACTGCCCACATTAGCTTACATAATGCAGCTTTATTCCACCATTCAAAATTTATGACATTTAGACCTCCAGTTGATGCAGGCATGCATATTCTGTCCCAGGATATCAAAGCCCTCTTTGAAGGGCAATAACTTCCTGTCCATAGGAAAACTCTAGCAGACTGA